TACAACCTCTGAATTTGCCTAGTAACGATGAATTCGTCCAGAAAATGGTGATATTTTATGAGAAATAGTCTGTATTTCTCATTTTTTTAATTCTTTTGCGTAAAACTAAAATTCATGCCAATATTTTTCCATGATTTATAATAATTGGAGTAATGCAAATGCATATTTTCTAAAAAAAGTCATTTTTAGTGAAATTTTGCCGGGAATGGGGCTTTAAAGACAAAAGCAAAATGGCTTTCTACATAGTGTTCTGTATACAGTAGAACCCCTATTAAGGGGGACACCCTCAGGGCCCAAAAGTGTCCCCTTAATAGGGGTACCCCTATTCAGGGGACACTGACCAAAAATGTGAAATTGTCCCCTTAATAGGGGTTTTTGGCATGGTTGGTACAATGTCTTTGTAATTATATTTCAATTGGCCTAAGAATGAGTTACAGTTGCATTATTACTAATTTATAACAATAATTCGCAATGTAAAAACATTATGATATGAAATAAAAGAAATGTTATTAAGAATACAAAATTGTACATGTTCCATTCCCGATATTGTTTCATGTTTCGAGTGCAATGTTGTTAAAAACTAAATCTTCTTTTTTTTAATTTGGGCTTTCTATTGGATGTACAAGATAGAATAGCATAAAAAGAGTAACAAATTAAAATCAGGGTGCAGGCTGTAAGATATATACACTAAACAAGAAATCCCAATGTCAAAATTAAAAGCTTTTATCATAAGAAGTACAGAAATACATGCACTAGGCCTATAACCAATGTTCATTCTACGTATTAAGAGGAAAAATTCTGGTTTGATGATGAATTTACGGCTCAAAAGGTGTTCATATAAATATGAATGAATTTTTACACATACTGCATTTAATTGATACAATAAAAAAAAGTGTCCCCCTATAGAGTTTAAAATGTATTAAATTGACCATTTGGCACACTCAGAAAGTATCCCCATCCCCTTAATAGGTGTTGGCCATAGTGTTAAAAGATATATTTCCCCTCGTTTTACAGAAAAGTGTCCCCTTAATAAGGGTGTTCCCTGAATAGGTGTGACCTAATAGAGGGGTTCTACTGTAGTACCAACTACTAAATAACTGTAACGATAAAGGTAAAATAAAAATGAATAAATGATGATGTAAGACTATAACAGGAAACATTTTTATGCTGACAGCTTTTAGGTGACGTAGAATTATACTCATTACGCTTGGCCAAAAAAAAAAATTGTTTGTTTGCCCTCCTCCACCCACCCCTAACTCACTGAAAAAAATTGGGGTGGAAAACAAAAAAACTATAAGTTTTTTTTTCCGCTTTTTCATAACAAATTAAAAAAAATATGAGTGAATTCATCTTTATTTTTTGCCAGATGTTCTACAAATTAGTCTAAAGTTGTTGTCTGATATTGCCATTCTAGGCCTCTGTGGGTTATTTTTATTCCAGTATTTAAAAAAACATATAAATAATTTAAAAAAATAATTTTTCCACCTGCCCTTATTTATCATTAAAAAAAAAAAAGAAGGGCAAACAAACAATTTATTTTATTTGGCCCTATCATTTAGGCTCCCACTGAAACAGGGTCTGACATACCAAAAGTACAACAATGACCACATCAATAATAATGCTGGCCTACAATTTAAAAAAAATTATGTAAATTCAAACAATTTAGATTTTTTAAAGTCAAGCAGCTAATCATCTACTGTAAACTGAAAGCATAAGTTTAATTCTTTATATAGAAGAAAATAGAAAAGAGAATAAATCATCTTTATTAGGCCTATATTACATAATAGTATGAACAATTGAAATCTGAAGAAATGATCACAATTACAATGGAGAACCTTGATTTGCACACATCATAGCACCTTCTTGGTGCAATGGTAATAGTAGGCCTAACTGGCAATACTAGCAACATGTACATATTAACACTAGGCCTACTTCTAGTAGTACTAAGCTATTAACGTACCACTGCCAGTTCCATGAGTGCCCCCTTTCTTCAGTAAATCCCTGTGTAACACCAACAATGGCTGATTAAGCTCATTATATAACATCCACAATATATAACACATGACAGTACTTACAGTAGGCCACTATACAGTAGGTAGGTTAGGCCATATTGTAGCCTTCTCAGTCTGGTTGAATAAATACAGTAAAATGATGCCTTCTACGGTTTTATGGAGTTTGTGTGGCCCATAGTAGAGATGATAGCCATATACCGATAGATGATACCAAAATTTCTACTAAGTAGCTTTAGGGCTTACTTAAATCTCCTTATGTATTCAATTATTCATTAAATGACTAATTGTTGTATTGATTTGAAAAGTCAACCATTAGTCAATCATGCCAGATATATACAGTAAACAAACCCAATGGCATGTTCCATTCTTTTCATGGGTTTAATAGCAATTAAAGTATAAATCTACCATGTCACCAATGAAAAATCAAATGCTTTAGATTTTTTAATATGTCATGCTTTGCACGCAAACTGTTGATATACATTTAATAAACTATAAAAATATCAATATCATTTAAAATATAATGGAATAGTCCATTATTTTTGTTTACTCAGCTCCATGGTGATAGGTGATCTCTGGTCTTACTGTAGTAGCAATGGGTATTTAGTATCGTCAAATCTAAGTATAATGACCTACTACTGTACTGCACTGTAGGTACTGACAGCATATAACAAGCAGTGAAGAAAAAGAAACCTATTTTCATAATTAATATTAGTTAATCAATTTCATATTATAGGCTATAATCACTAACAGTGACATCATATAAAAGGCTATAAAAATCACTGGTAATACTATGCAATTAGCTTAATTGTGTTTTGATATCCAGGACTCTTTCAAATTATTAAAATGCATTTTTATCCCAGGGTTTATCAGTTCTATTTCATTCTTTACTACTTTTTTTTTTTACATTATTGTATGTATACGATACACTACGTTCAATGCCGTAGCCAGCTATTGGTACAGTTGGGACAGTCCCACACAATTTTCCTAATGGGTCGACAAAGAATGGGTCCAAATTTTAAAAAATGGGTCCAAATTATGTAATTTTATGCATAAAATGGGTCCACTTTTTGAAAAATGGGTCCAGATTCCTCATATTTAGCTTAAAATGGGTAAAATTTAAGAAAATGGGTAATATTTTTTTGTAAAATGGGTCCACATTATTTGAATGTACGCGTAAAGTGGGTCCACACTCTGATATTGTCCCGCACAATTTGAAAATCCTGGCTACTGCATTGATTACATTACATAGTGTCACTTGTTTTGTGTTTCTGGGATCCTCTGAAAATAAATCCTATGGTAGCTGGATCAGTGCTATCCCAGATATATCATAATTTTGACAACCTCTGCTTATTGGTTCTTTGTTTTCCCATTTCTTTATATAAGGCCCAATAAAAAAAATTATTAGTTTATCACCCTTGCGCGCATGTCTTTTATGGTACTGGAAAAAAAAAATTGTTAAAATTTTTTTATTTTTGGAAAAAAAAATTTTTATTTTTTAAATTTTTTTAAATTTCTTTTATTTATTTTTTTTTCATTTATTTTATTAAATTATTAGTAGATATTGTTTGCATTATCTAAATCATGTTTTACTTTGAATATCAATGCACCAGCAAACAACTCAAGGGTGATATTTGGCTTTAGCAAAAAAAAACAAAAGAAAAAACCTCCCTCCCTCATCACTTTTCCTGCCCAGATAGGGTGATAAACTAATAATATTTTTATAAGGCCTAAACAACATACATGGATATGTTTTAGTAATTATTATAACATTAGTAATTGTTGTACCTCCTAAATTTTATTATAGTTAAGGAAAATATCCTATTAATTATATTCATAATTCATGTATATATTTTAATCATCAATTTTCTTTTT